AACTGTTTTCAACATTGATAATAATCAGAAATGTTTCTTGAGCAGCAAATCAGCATATTAGAATGATTTCTGAAGATCATGTGACACTGAAGACTGGAGTAATGATGCTGAAAATACAGCTGCACATCACAGAAATAAACTACAGTTTAACACATATTCACATAGAAAACTGCTATTTCAACTTGTAATATAATTTTATAATTATTATTGCATTTTTGATCAAATAAATGCAACCTTGTTGAGCATAAGTGACAAAATCATTAAAAAAATCTTACCGACCCCAAACTTTTCAATTGGTAGTCGACACATAGTTAAACTTTCCAAAACATAAAATGAATGAAGAAATAAAACAACTGTACTTCTTTAAAAATGTTACACAGAATGATTTAAATCACAATTTGTGACCCTGGAGCACAAAACCAGTCATAAGGGTCAATTTCTCGAAATTGAGATTTATGCATCGTCTGAAAGCTGAATAAATAAGCTTTCCGTTGATGTGTGGTTTGTTAGGATAGGACAATATTTGGTCGAGATACAATTATTTGAAAATCTGGAATCTGAGGGTGCAAAAAAATCAAAATATTGAGAAAATCATCTTTAAAGTTGTTCAAATGAAGTTCTTAGCAATGCATATTACTAATCAAAAATTAAGTTTTGATATATTTACGGTAGGAAATTTACTAAATATCTTCATGGAACATGATCTTTACTTAATACATGATCTTTACTTAATATCCTAATGATTTCTGGCATAAAAGAAAAATCTATAATTTTGCTATTGCTACAAATATATGAGCTTTTGTGCTCCAGGGTCACATTTCAGGATTTAATTTTTGAATTGGTTCTTTTATATGACTCATTTGAATGAACTGATTCCCTAAACTGAATCAGAATTCCCAACCATTTCATATTTTCAAGAGTTTTTGATCGCTGCCTTAAAGCAAAGCTGCATGTGCAATCTACACATTTTGAAGTATTTCTACGTCAATTTTTAAAAAATTAATTTGTTTCATACCATTTATTTAGAATTAATTGTCAAATTTACCAGCAGTTCCTGAGTGAAAATCTGTTTTCTTTCGCTTGTGTGATTTAGTTTCAACAATGTAACTAATGTGAGACTAATAGACAATTCTGTCTGATTTATTTCTAAGTATTGAGTTTGATTTGGACTTCCACATGATTTCATGGTGCCATGTCAGATTCAGAACAGCAGTGATTCTCTAATGTTTCTGTCAGCTAAACCCATTAATGATCTAAAATATTTGTATATTATTAAAATATTTATTTAAAACAGACCAGCAAAAAAGCTGTGAGACATCCACGCCAAATAGAAGTTTTTAAATGTAGAAATAATTTGTCGGATAAGCTAAAAAAATATATTATAAATTAGTCTAACATGAGGAGAAATTTGAAATTAGGAAACTGCAGTTTCTATGTTTATCTGTGAGCTTTTCCTCTTGATGGACTCATTTTTAATGAAAGTATTTATTAAAATATTTTTAGTAAATTGTGCATGTGCACAACTCTCTTAAGTCAGTTAATGATCACATGACATGAATATTTCATCCTTTTTACTATTTTTAAAATTATTTTTAGTTTTTTATTCTTATTAATATAATTATTTTTACATTTTAAAAATTATTTTAAATTTTTTGTTATTAAATTTTTAGCATTTATCAATGCACAAACCCATTTGAGAAACTCTGATAAGGCACAAAAACATGGGATAAGCTAAAAAAATCTATTATAAATTAGTCTAACATGAGGAGAAATTTGAAATTAGGAAACTGCAGTTTCTATGTTTATCTGTGAGCTTTTCCTCTTGATGGACTCATTTTTAATGAAAGTATTTATTAAAATATTTTTAGTAATTTGTGCATGTGCACAACTCTCTTAAGTCAGTTAATGATCACATGACATGAATATTTCATCCTTTTTACTATTTTTAAAATTATTTTTAGTTTTTTATTCTTATTAATATAATTATTTTTACATTTTAAAAATTATTTTAAATTTTTTGTTATTAAATTTTTAGCATTTATCAATGCACAAACCCATTTGAGAAACTCTGATAAGGCACAAAAACATGGAAATAAACATTCAAATGCACCGTTTCAAAAGTACAATCACAAGATTCAAAATTATGCACGTTAACATGCCACTAAACACAGTCACTTTCACTTTGAATGTACGATTATACCTGAAAATTACACCTTTTTACATAAACACAAAATCACACACACACAGATCATATTTTAGACACTTTACAGCTGAAATAACACACTTTTATACTTTCATAAATTATCTAAGTCATCGAACATTTCTACCATTTTGTACCGGTAGTTATTTGGGAGCTTAAAGGCAATTACTTTTCAGTTAACTATATTGATTTTGCAGTGAGGTCACAAAATAACTAAACTGAACTGCACTATTTTTTTCTGTAGAGCTGCTTTATAGTTAAAATAGAAGTAATAATTAAAGCTGAATTAATTTAATCCTGACTCAACATTTTTGCAACACCGTTTACAAGTGCAAAGTGATCTATATTGCATAAAGCACTATAGAAATGAACCCGATTTGACTTATTGTGGTAGTAGACATGATTCTACAGATTCTATTGATGGAGATTAACATCTACTGAAGCTAAAGCATTAATTTAACCACTGTGTGTGTGTGTGTGTGTTTATGTGTGTGTGTGTGTGCGTTCGTGTGTGTGTGCGTATGTGTGTGTGTCTCTGTGTGTGTGTGTGTGTGTGCGCATGTGTGCGTGTGTGTGTGTGTGTCTCTGTGTGTGTGTGTGTGTGTGTCTGATATACCAGCGCCGCTGGGTCAAACTGGATGCTGAATACCTGAGATACTTCGACACTGAGAAGGTGATTCTGATTGGTTAAAGTCACGTGTGTAGAGTCAAACTCTTTGTGGCATGTGAAAAGACCTGCTGTTCTTCAGTGCTGAACGAATGCTTCTCACCGCACGTGTCCTTTAACATCCGCTGCTGATGGGACGATTAAACGCCTGTGTGTGTGTGTGTGTGTGTGCAGGACGTCTACTCGAAGAGGATCATACCTACAGTGTCCATCACCGGCGTGGTCAACGTGGGAGAGCAGAAGTTTGAAGTGGTGACGCACAATCGCACTTTCCTGTTCCGAGCCGAGAGCGACTGTGAGTGTTCAGACTGTGTGTGTGTGTGTTGTTTAAAGCACATGATTAGGAGCTACGAGATGAAGGGTTACCTGGAGCTGCGCGGCCTGCGCTCTAAACTTTACACGGTGGTGTGTGCGGATAAAGTCTTCCTCTACAAAAACACAGAGGTAAACCCTCAATCTGTCTGTCTTCAGAAATAAAACTAACACTAGTCACACTACTGACTTTAATACAGACTTCAGTAGCATTAACAGCAGCTCACTTGACTTCAGAATGCTTTTATTGGATAGAAGGAATGGGCATTTTTAAATAATAATTCAATATTTTAAATAATAATTCAATCATATCTATATAATCCAGTATGTTCAATAGCTAGGTGTGGGGGCAATAACATGCAAACAAAAAACACATGGTTTACATAAAATCTTTTATGTATTTATAATTTGAAAGCAAACAAATAGCCCTGTTTTTGGAAAGGGACATCATACCTTTCAGAAAATATAATTTGCATCTTAATATTGCAATGAAAGCATATTTAACAGTAATATATATGTCCATGACAGGGTGGACATATCTTATGGTTTATGCTTTGAATAATGGCCCATAATTTTCTAAAATAAATATGTGGGAGCTCAGCTAATATGTTTTTATAGTACTTAAATGTCTACTATTTATGACATAAAGCGACTGGGAAATTAAGACCAAAATGTGTGAGTATTGCGAGGGTTGAAAGGCACTCTATGGTGATATTGACCCATGTATGATTTAGGTACGCAACATTGCACAACCAAATTGTTTCAACACGATTGTAATGTGATTTTATACAATACTAGTTCAATAAACAAGAAGTTAAAATTTAGTGACTTACATTTTAGACACAATATTGACTGTTTTTGCTCAATTTCGCTGATGAAAATAGTTCCAATCAAAGCCACAGCAGAGCTGTTTTGTGTCTGCGAGCAACACAGCGGTGTTTCGTTACTGAATGAATCCACGTTTTTGAATGAATCAAGCAGGGTTTCCGCAGGGTCTTAAAAAGTCTTAATTTTAGTTGTATCAAATTTAAGGCCTTTAAAAAGTCTTAAATTGTACAAGAAAGTCTTAATTATGATTTCAAGAGGTCTTAAATTTGGGGACGGAAAGACCAGATTGTAGGGTGCGCGATATGTATGGTCTGCGATAATATCGTAATTGTAGTTTTAACGATGTGCGATTTGACATTATCGAGTATATCGCGAAAAGCAATTAAAACACACCTACAGAGTGCACGCATACATTACGTGATGAAGTCTAGTAAGTTAACATAGGTTAAACTAGTGCACGTACGCATTTAGCGTTAATATTAAGAGACTTACATTTTAGACACCATATTTCCTGCTTCTAATCAAAAATCATTCCAAACACAGTCACAGCGCTGTTTTGTGTCTCTGAGCAACATGACGGTGTTTCGTTCCTGAATGAATCAACCGTTTAAATGATTCGGTTCAAACGCAATGACTCACTTATTAACAGTGACTTGCTGCCACCTGCTGGCGGTTTTAATTTCACATTTAAAGTATCTTTTCATTTTTTAAAATGATTTCAAACATCAGTTTTCAATGTTTTATGTTTAAAATATCAAAACATTATTTATGCATTTGTAATTGTATGTTAAATGCATGCATGTCCTGCATTAAACAGTGTGTAAACACATCTAAATGCCACTGCATTGCACTGAATTTTGTTGATACTGATTTCATTTGCTTGGTAACAGCCCAAATGCAAGAATTTGACTCAAAAGATGGTGCACACTTTTAGAAAAAATGGCTTAAAGGTAAAAATGCCCATAAAACTTGTTGGAAATAATTAATTTCTATCACTGCTCTGAACTGACCACAGAATATGAAGAATATAAAAAAAAATTCAGGAGTCATCTGTCCACGGCGGTCCTTAAAATATCAGCACAATAACATACTCCGCAAAATATCGTCTAATTATCGTTACCGATAAAATAATATCGAGATATCATTTTTTGTCAGCATCGCACACCCCTAATTTATGTTATTTAATTGATATAGCAATTTATTCATAATAATTGTTTAAATTAATGTAATAATTAATACTTTTGACTCGTCCATTTTTTAAAAAATGGTTTAAAGGCTGAAATGTAAAGTTTATCATTTATAAAACTTTTTGTTATTGTGAAAACTTGTATCTGAACTGTAAATAATGCTTTTTAAAGTAATTTTACAGTTTAATATGGTACTCTAGACATTGCCCCGCTCATATGGTATTAATTTTATTTGTGCGGGTCTTAAAAAAGGTCTTAAATTCGAGCTTAAAAATCCTGCAGAAACCCTGTCAAGTGAGTCAATGATTCAGTAACCCATTCGTAAAGACAGTAGTCACTTTCCTCGTTTCTGAATGAATCGGCCGTTTGAACGAATCTGTTAAATGAAGGACTAAATGACTCACTCATTCAAACAGTCATTTAACGCCACCTACTGGTTTGGTTTCATATTTAAAACTATCATTGCATTTTACCCAACATTTCTTATTTGTATGTTTAAAAAATATTTAAAACATTAATATTTGAAAATTCTCTATGCATTACTGAATAAATTGAAACTATGTAAGACACTTTTAATAAGGTTAGTAAAAAAATGACAATTTAAGAAACGCAGTGGGGAATGACATCTGTTTTGTTATATAAAGCAACTCCTTTTAAGTAAATTGTTGTTTCTACCTCTTTTCTAGTCACAGAGCACTTTATTTTGAGAGGTGTTTAAGTGAGAGAGCATCTGTAACTTTGTCCAGATTGGGGGGATTGTAATTTTTAATAATTTTTTATTATGTGAAAAAAAATTTCGGCAGGTCACACTTACAAACGATATCGGCAGGTCACACTTACAAAAAAATAAATATACTGTTTATATTTCATTCATATTTTGCATTAGTTTTAGTTTTTCTGTTTTCATTTAAATTTTAGTGATTTTTTTTTAGTAATTTAGTTGTGTTTTTGCCATTTTTGTTACTTTTCTTTGAATGTCTGTTTTTTTTTATTAATTTTTATTTTAGTTTTTGTTATTTCAGCACATCAGGTTAAACTAAATGAAAATTAGAAATGTTGCCTTGGCTTAGCAATTATTGCATTTCAATTTTTTTATGGTTTTAGTTTCAATTTTAGTTAACTACAATTACCATGAAGTGCAAATAAAATGATTCATTGATTCATTTCAGGCTGAGCTAAATGATCGCATTCATACCGCCACGTCATCTTACATCTTACATCTTTTGAGAAGCGAAAATGTATATACATGCTGTCTTTCATACAAAACAATGATAATATAAATTAGGGTTTAATTATGAATTCAGTTGCTTGACATGACTGGACTGTTATATTACATAATTTAAAACTGTATATGAGTGTACATTTATAGTTTAGAGATGTTAGTAAAAAATTAGAATCATAGTAATGTATAGAAATGTCCCCATTTACATAGCTAAATAAAGATGTTTGTTTCGTGTGTGTGTGTGTGTGTGTAGGATTATCGTCTGGGAATCGGCATCACCTCGATCGATATGAATGTTGGTAATGTGAAGGAAGTGGATCGGAGAGCGTTTGATCTGACCACACCGTACCGCATATTCAGGTGAGACTTTCACTTGTTCGTTCATTCAAATGACTCATTCATTCATTTGTTCATTCACATTAATTTATTCAACTGCTCAGATCCTGTTCAAGATTTCTTTCCGTCTGTCATGCGTTCATTCGTGTTTCTGTTCAACTTTTTTCCGCTCTCTTCATCTATTTCATTCAAGACACTGTGAGTCATCCAGCAAGCTGAAATAACTGTGTGTGAGTGAGTGTGTGTGTGTGTGTGTGAGTG